TGCGAGACGTCCCAGCGGGGCCCCCTTTTTTTTTTCGACTTTTTCGGGATTTGCCGCGTTTGCCGGCATGTGTGGCGTGCACTGCTGGTGCTGCACGCGGTGGCCGGGACGGTGGTGTGAGCGTGCACCTAGCGGGGACACTAACGCCATCACCCTGCCCTCCTACACACTGTTCAATGAGTGTGACGTCATTAGTTTGTGAAAGTGGTCCCGTCTCATTCGTTTTAAGTTCATCCACGCTTACACGAATGGTGACACCCAATTAAAAAGCCGCGATGATAACCCATGACGTGATATTCGTTGTATAACAGGGCTGGTGCTGCGAAGCTGAGCAGCAGTCGGGTCAAAATTTTGGGGAGTGCGCACTCTGTTGGACCCCGCACCCTTTTGGCTGGGGACTGCTCAAGGGACTGCTGCTGCCCCGCACTGCTAAGACCCGCTTCTTAATCCGATCAGTGGGCAACTCGCAGGGCAACTGGATTGGGCACGTCCAGAAAAATGACTTCCTTGTCCTTGTTTCAAGAAAGAAAAACCTTTTCTCGTTTTTCATTTTAAGAGAAAAAAGTTAGTCCAAACCTTTGTTTGTCTAAAAAAAAAATATTTCTAAGATCAAGATATATTTTTACATAACGTAATGAAGAAACAAAATGAAGCTTGGATTGTGGTATATTATTTCGAGTGAAAAAATGCGAAAAGAGGAAGTGTTTGTGTGTTACTTTTGAGGCTCCTGTTGCGGAGCCAACCCCCTCCGTCTTCCCATTCCTTCCACAGTTTCATCCCCCTCCCCCATTCCCCCCCCCCTCCCTCCACTGCCGTATTTTCCGACGAGTCGCTTTCGTCGCTCTGTCCCTCTCGCACCGATAGGGGACGCCCCATGACTGCGAGGGAGGCAGGGCGACGAGAACGACTTTCGGAATCAGTGTGCTGAATCGCGCGCACATCCGGCTTATATTTCCTGCCATCAATCCCGTGTCATCACTACCACCCCACACCCCACCCCAACACCAATCTGCACCAATCCCGCATCGCCGCGCGGAGCAAGACAAGTTGAACTGCCCAGTGTATTTATTCCCGCGCAATGCTCGGCTCGGCTCGGCTCGGCTCGGCCCGGCTCGGCTTAGCCCGGCCCGCACAGTGGGCCAGAAGACCGGTGGAGGCGGTCAAAATCCCAGCCGCGTTTTGAGCTCCACAGACACTAAGTGGGACTCGAACCGAACGTGCGGACCCCACCAATTGATTGCTCTTGGAACGAGGAATCCATTAGTGGGGTCACACGTTCTGTTCGAGACCTATTTAGCGACTCTGGAGCTCAAAACGCGTCTCGAGTTTGGCCGTTTTCATCGGTCTTCTGGCAAATCCACTGCGGCCCGGCCACCGGCCCGTCTTGTTTTCCATACATGGGGGCACGTCGTGCGAGGCGCCGCGCCAGCAGGCAAAGTCGGACGCGACGACACTCGGCGAGACAAGCCAAGGAAGTTGGCCGCGAACTCCTACGGCGGCCTGCTGACGAACGCGGGGCTGCACTGGTGCAGGGGGCAACAACAACTTGTCCCGTCGACGTCGCCCGCCTGACTCCAAGAGGTTGTTTCGTCGCTCTGTCTCTCTCCAACTCGTGGGCGCGCCCCGGGAGTGCGAGAGAGACAGAGCGGCATCCCTGGGAGTCAGACACGGCGGCGGGACGGCGAGGCTCTCTCGCTGGAAATTCCATCTCGTTCGGCGCAGTCCTAGGGCTGCCGTGTCGAGTCGCGCCGAGCCTCGTACTCAGTCATGTCATGTGTGGTGGAGTCATTTCTAGCTCGCTCCAATCCTATCCCCTCGGGCGATTACGTTCCCGTTTCCTCAACCCCGATCTACCCCGCCCCGCCCCGCCCCGCCTCGCCCCGCTCCGCGCTTCCTTCGCTGAGTCACCGTCTGGCCGACTTTGAGTGAATTAAAAAGACATCATGTGGCGTAGCGCGCCTTTGAAACCCTTTTATCTCTTCCCGAGAAGAGCCTTGCCCCGGTCCGTGACGACGTGAGGGCGAAGGGCGGGGCGCCCCAGCTCCAAATGGATTGCCCGATTCTCGAATCAAGTCCTGTACGTCGATTGACGTCCAATCCGGAGCTCAGCTCACACCGATCCGACGGCAAAGTCGCTCAACTCTGCCCTTTGGATGGTTCCATTTCGAACCACCCTCGTTCTTACGTTGTTGTTCCACAGAGAAAAATTCAGAGAGTAAAAAACACAGAGAAAAATCATCTCTTTACAAAAAAGACGAAGGCAGAGGAGCATCTGCAGAGCAATGCTTTGTTCTACTGAGCAGAAATCTCAGTAATGTGGCACGTTACTTCATAATATGAAGCTATTATTGCATTCCTTTTCTTCGCAGGAAGCGGGTGCTATTTTTTTTTAAGAAATTTTCAGTAGCGGTGTGGCGAATGCTACACTGACGAGGGCTGACGATGAAAACCCTGAAAGACCTGGCATTTTCCCTGGCAACGCCGCTTGACTCTTCAGCCCTCGCAGACTAAACACGGGCGGACGCTTTTTCCTGTTTTGCTTTATTTTTTGTTTTGCCCGGGCTTTGGTGCTGCCGGCAAGCAAAAAGTGTTAAGCGCGCGTCTGGCCGGCTTGGCAGCACTGCCTGCACACATTTAGCCGTGTCACCGAGAGGCGTGGAGTCGTGGAGGGACTTGAACTGGGGCTCCCGCCAACGGCTACACTCTAAAAATTTCACAGCGGAGACTATTGGTAAAAATTATGGTGTGTAGCCGTGTGTAGCTGACTTTATAACTTATCTTTGATATTTCATTGTACCTTATAGACACTTTGTCAAATTTCCTTCCAATTCAGAAAATCTCTACCATTATGTGGTGTAGACTTTCACCGTAAGACACAGTAGGGTACGCCAACGCGAGTCCCCCTTTTTTCTGCCAATTTCTCCTTCTGCCCCAAGCCGCGCCGTGCCAACCGTACACGGTAAAAACGGTTCCTGGTTTTCCCAGGAGCTCCCTGGAAATCGCCTATGTCTCTACCATAGGCTTTCCTGGGAAAACCAGGCTCCGTTTTCCGTTTTTACCGTGTAGGAAGTAGTTTGCCGCCCGATCGTTCAGAGTGCGTTGGCCGCGGCGTTGGCCGCGGCGTTGGCCGGAGTCACTCTGGGGCGCTGTGTCGGCGTGGCGTGGCGGTGTCGGTCCTCTCAGCACCACACAGCTACACTGCCAGGCACCACTTGGTCGCCCCCGAGGCGCTCCCCGACTCCAGGCTTCCTTCATCAGCGCGGCAGCCTGGCTGGCGTCATCCTTGCTGGCGCCACCAGGCGCCACCGCGCGACAACAGATTACAAGCAAACAAATGATCAGGCAGGGCGGGCCCGCCGTGGGCCGCCGTGGGCCGTAGCGAGGCTCAATACGGAGTGCCTAGGAAGGCCGTGGGCTGACTGGAACGGCAGGGGGTGGGGGTGGGGGTAGGCTGCGAGGGGACCCTTGGAACAAGGGCGGATAGCGCTTCGGCCCTCCCGTTGTTATGCACGGAGGTTATCTCGGACGCGCCGCAGCAGGCTCCCCCTCCCAACTTCCCCCTCCCCTCCCAACTTCCCCCTTCCCTCCTAACTTCCCCCTCCCCTCCCAACTTCCCCCTTCCCTCCTAACTTCCCCCTCCCCCTCTCAAATTCCACCCCCACCCCCCTTTCCAACTTCCTCCACCACCTCCACCCCCAAACTCCCCCCCCCCTTTTCCGACCTCCCCGCCCCCCTTCCGAACTTCCCCACCCCGCTGGTCGCTATCGCTGTTCCGGGACGCAGCAAGACGTCTAGCTCTCTGGCCAATTAACATGCTGACCCATTTCTATGGACCGCAGCCTCGCCGGGTTGTGTCCCTTAGCGCCTGCCAAGCCTCGGGTAGGCAATGCTGTCGGCGCGCGCGCTCGACGGGACTGCCTGCCTCCTGGGCGCCAAGCGCCCGTCAAGTCTCGGGTAGGCAACGCGGTCGGCGCGCGCGCTCGACGGGACTGCCTGTCGCCAAGCGCCTGTCAAGTCTCGGGTAGGCAACGCGGTCGGCGCGCGCGCTCGACGGGACTGCCTGTCGCCAAGCGCCTGTCAAGTCTCGGGTAGGCAACGCGGTCGGCGCGCGCGCTCGACGGGACTGCCTGTCGCCAAGCGCCTGTCAAGTCTCGGGTAGGCAACGCGGTCGGCGCGCGCGCTCGACGGGACTGCCTGTCGCCAAGCGCCTGTCAAGTCTCGGGTAGGCAACGCGGTCGGCGCGCGCGCTCGACGGGACTGCCTGTCGCCAAGCGCCTGTCAAGTCTCGGGTAGGCAACGCGGTCGGCGCGCGCGCTCGACGGGACTGCCTGTCGCCAAGCGCCTGTCAAGTCTCGGGAAGGCAACGCGGTCGGCGCGCGCGCTCGACGGGACTGCCTGTCGCCAAGCGCCTGTCAAGTCTCGGGTAGGCAACGCGGTCGGCGCGCGCGCTCGACGGGACTGCCTGTCGCCAAGCGCCTGTCAAGTCTCGGGTAGGCAACGCGGTCGGCGCGCGCGCTCGACGGGACTGCCTGTCGCGCAGCGCCTGTCAAGTCTCGGGAAGGCAACGCGGTCGGCGCGCGCGCTCGACGGGACTGCCTGTCGCCAAGCGCCTGTCAAGTCTCGGGTAGGCAACGCGGTCGAGGCGCCCTTGGCCAGCGCTGGGCTCGCTGGGCAAGCGACCGCGCACTGTGAGTGGCACGGGAAGTAATGGCCTCCCGGGCCGTCCGCGAGGGCCGGGGGCCGCGAGCCCCACAGACTGATTCCGAGAGTCGCTTTCGTCGCTCCGTCTCTCTGGCACTCGTGGGGCCTCCCGTATGGGTGCGAGCGAGAAGGAGCGACAAAAACGACTCTCGGAATCACTCTGCTGGGGATTATGGCAGCGACTGGGCCAGGCCTGGCGGAATGGCGGGAAATCAGTCTCACCGCTGTGGCACTTTCGGACGGCCACACCTCCACAGTGCCGCCGCCGCCCATCTGTAACGCTCTGCCCGTCTCGCCAGGTTCACCATCCTCAACGCCGTGCTGTACACCAAGGCCAGCGACCTGGTGACGCTGGTCAACTCCGAGTCCCGCGTCATGCTGCTGTACTGCACGCGCGAGGAGGCCATCCACATCCTGAACCACGCCCGCGAGCTCAAGATCACGGGCGAGAACTACGTGTGGGTGGCCGCGCAGTCCGTCATCGCCACCGGCACGCCGCCCACGCAGTTCCCCGTCGGCATGCTGGGTGAGTACACTGGCAGGGTGGTCGTTCTTACAGGCGGCGGGGACTTGGTACTTGACAAAGACTTGACAAGTGACGAGTCAAATTTTCACAGTGCAGTCGGACGGAAATTACGGTGATCTTGTGTGGCACCTTTCTCGAGCTGATTGTTGTTGGGCTTGTGATTGGCTGCCTCTAGACTGTTCCGTCTTTTCAACACCATGCTTCCCTATCCCCGCCAAGCATGTCTCTCTCTCTCTCTCTCTCTCTCTCTCTCTCTCTCTCTCTCTCTCTCTCTCTCTCTCTCTCTCTCTCTCTCTCTCTCTCTCTTGAGGTAGACAGAGTGCTCCAGTGAGGCTCCCAGATTTAGCCCTTTTACTAGTGTTTCCTGGTGAAAGAAGTCCAAAACCCATTAGAGAACAAAATCAGTCAGTGACAGTGATCATAATGTGAAGAAAATTTCCACGATTCCCCCGACGGATCGGGCGGAAAAGTGAAATCAGTCCTAGCCGGACTCGTGGACTTTTCCCGCCTTTTTCAACAAGTCAACTTTAACAACGAAACCAGCATCCTTTTGCAAACATGGATTACGCGAGTGCAGCATCATCTTCAAGAGCCCCCCATGTCCAACTTAAACCCCGTTACTCAAGAAACTCTGAAAGTGAACCCAGTGCTAGTGAAAACTTAACCTCAAAATCCCCCCAAACCAACCCCAACCAACAAGACAACAACAACATTGCCTATTCTCCCAATAGGAAGAATGCCATAATCATTGAAAACATTCACCAAGTCAGTCAAGACCAGTGCCTCCGAGCTGTCGCTGATGTGATAGGAGGACGAAACATTCATTACTGTACCCGCCTTAGTGGAGGGCGAGTTTGTATGTACCTGACGAATGAGAACTTTGTAAACCAAATTTGCGAGGAAGGAGGGATACAGATTGGTCCACTTTACTACCCTTGTCGACGCTATGTTACTGAAGCAACCAAGTTCATAGTTTCAAATTGTCCTCCTGAAATTCATGACGAAGATCTCAAGGACCTCCTAGCACCCTACGGAAGAGTTGTCTCTGCCCCAACCAGACTCAAAGTATCAACAACTCATGATGATCTCAAACACGTCAAGTCCTGGAAGAGATCCATATTCATCATGATTCCCTCTGGAGCTCCAGAAATGCCAAAAAAAATACTGGTTACTACTGTTGAAAACAACAAGGTCACCTTGTACATTGACCGAGATGACATTATGTGCAACTTCTGTCTCGTGCCAGGACATCTCGAGGCAAAATGCAAGAAGAAACTCAACCAGGATCAAGAATTCCCAGCCATCAGACCACCAGTTTCTCAACGCTTGTTGATCAACAGAACATCCCGCCCAACAACTGGACAACAACCATCTGGAAGTTCAAGTTCAGTACCCCACATTCCCATGCCAAATTTCGTTGCTGCTACAGTGCTGCAACCTTCTACTTCCATGTCATCTCAGACAGTCACATTGCAAGACTCAGAGTTCACTTTCAGCACTCCTACCATCCTAACACCCGAAACAAGTCAAGTACCCCAACAGCGGAATGAGCAACCTCAAGAAATTTCCATTACGGAAACTATTTATGGAGACACATTATTTACCCCAAGAAACTCAAGTGAGAAAGTAACTGACACTTCACAAATTGATGATTTGATGGACAGCCAACTGGAGTCAAGTTGGTACTATCAATCTCAGAATGAAAGTGTCAAGAGAAAAGAGCGTTCCCCTGAAAAAGACAGAGAAACTGATCTCGATATGAACACTGATTCAAGCACAACATCATCAATCTCATCATCTGCCCCCAACAAGAAGCAAAAAGTAAAGAAGAATAAAGAAGATGCCCTCCAGACAGTACTCAACCAAATGACTTTCAAAGAATCCTTCCTGAAGAGAGAAGACTTCATTGATTTCATGAAAGACGCCCGAGGCAAGTCCAACTCCAAAAATATTGCAGCCAGATATACTCAGAATTTTGGAGCCTTGATAGTTCAACTTCAAGAAGCCGAAAACGTCTGCATGGACTTCAATCTTAAAAGGAGATTTCAGCGTGCAGCAGACGCTTTGAGAAGTCAAGAAAATCCAGAAGACCAGAGTGAACAATGAAAAACAGTGATAACAGCTTTTTATATTTTTTACTGTGCCTATCAGTCAAAAAAAAATTGTACAAAAAGCCAAAATGTCGATATTCACATTAACATCTGTGGTGGTAATCATGCTTAGCATTCTCACTTTGAATGTTAAAGGTTTAGTCACACAAGAAAAACAACTTTGCCTACAACAATTTGCCGATAATCACCACAATTCAGTGCTCTTTTTGCAAGAGACTAATCTTTCAAGATCAACACCGATGGCTAGAACTATGGATTTTACATTCTTCCTTAACCCCCCTGTACAACCTTCTTCAGGCGTCGCCATTGCCATCAAGAATCAACTTCTTCAAGAAACCAAGATAATTCAAGAATCAAATCTAGTCCCTGGATACTTACAAGCACTGCATCTTGAAATCAAGAGCTACAAATTTTACTTCATAAATGTTTACATGCCTCATAATGCACAGGTTGCATCTCAGGTATTAAACAAAATTCATAATTTTTTGTCAACAATTACAAGTGAAGATGCCATCATCATAATGGCTGGAGACTGGAATACAACTTTAGCCAAAGAAGATAGAAGAAACTGTTCTGAAAAAAGAACTCAATTAGTAAATCAAATCCAAGTTCTTCTGCAACAGTACAATCTGACTGATGTTTGGAGAAACTTCAACCCTAACAAACAACAATTCACCTACAGAGGATTACAAAACAATCATCCCATGGCTAGACTGGATCGTGCTTACATCCAAGCCCGTAACTTACATGCAGTACAAAGCACAAATATTATTCCATCCTTCTCTGACCATGATGGAGTAACCATCACTCTAAATATTTTTGAAAAGAATTATAAAACACCTTATTGGAAGTTTGATGTAACTCTTCTCAAGTCAAATGAATATATTCAAATCATAAAAAACATCATAGAATATTTTGAAGAAAAGGAGCAAGAAGAAAATTCAAATATAGTTCAACTGTGGGACTGTTTGAAACAAGAAATATCTTTAGCTTCACAACGGTTTTCCAAAAAACTAAAAGAAGATTCAGAAGAAAAACTCAAGACACTTACTTCAACAATAAGTCACATTGATAAAAAGAAGAACTGTCAAGAAATGATCAAAAACTTCTGCTTCAAATCCACAAAGAAATATCATCAATTTACAACAAGGACGCATCCCTCAAATTAAATTTGTTGGAGTCACAAGTCCGTCAAGAAGCCAATACTTCATCAAAATTTTTCCTCAGAATTGCAAAGCAATCTAAGCCTTCAGCTGTTATAAATGAACTTTTAATTGATGGGCAAGTAACATCAGACAAGACTGCAATTTTTACAGAAGTCCAGAAGCATTTTCAGAGTGAGTTTAGTTCACAAAATTTGTCCCAGAATTTTAATCCAAATAGTACTCTCTACCAAGATACTCCCTCTCTGAGTCAGCATGACTCAGAAAAGTGTGAAGAAAAAATAACTGAAGAAGAGATAAAAGAATCCATACAATGTGCACAACTAAACCGAGCTCCAGGCATGGACGGTTTGCCAATTGAATTTTATAAATTCTTCTGGGAAAATCTTAAAAACCTTTTCACCAAAATGGTTCAACATTTTCAAGAGACCGGACAACTTCCCAAATCTATGAAGAAAATAGTCATATCTCCAATCCCCAAACCAGGGGACAGAACTACTCTAAAAAGTTGGAGACCAATTGCCCTGATGAACTGTGATTACAAAATAATATCAAGAATCTTCAGTAAAAGAATAGCCTCAGTCTTACAATCACTGCTCAGCTCTGATCAAAGCTATTGTGTTCCCAGCAGAACAATTTACAACAATCTGCATTTAGTAAGAAATGTCATTCGTTATTCCAACAGGAACCAAACAAACCTTGCAATCTTGGCTTTAGATCAGTCTGGAGCTTTTAACAAAATATCCCACAAATATTTAGAACATCTTCTCAAACTCCATAACTTTGGACCAAATTTAAGAAGATCAATATCTGCACTAATTCAAGAAACAAGAGGATTTGTCAAGATTGGATCTTCACTGCTAGCCCCTTTCCTGTTTGAGAATGGCTTTCGACAGGGTGACCCTATTGCTGGGCCACTCTACGTTATCTCATTTGAGCCCTTCCTCCGCCTCGCTGCCAAGATGATGACCCAGAGTGGGATCCCCATTCCCAGCTCCAACTTGAAAGTACACTCAACAGCTTTTGCGGATGATGTACATTTTTTCATAACTGATGATCAAGACTTTGAAAAAATATCTCAGGCCTATAGCTATTATAGCCAAGAATCAGGAGCACAACTTAATACAACAAAGTCAAAAGGCCTCTTTTGTGGTGCCTGGAAAAAAAGGAATGATAAACCATTAGATTGTCATTGGAACAATGATGGACTGAAGATTTTGGGAGTATTCATAGGAAATACTCCACAATATGAAGAAGAAAATTGGACTTCACTCATCATAAAAATCAAAGGAACTCTCAATAACTGGTCCCAACATGTGAAACTCACTTCTCTTATTGGGAGAAAAATTGTCTGCAATCAGCTGGCAGGGTCCCAACTCATCCACACCCTCAACATTCTTCAACCACCAAGACAGTTCTTTGAAGAAGTCCAAAAATCCATGGTTGACTTCATATGGCAAGGCAAGCACTGGCTCCATAAAAATTATGTTTTTGCAAACACAGAATTAGGTGGAGTGGGACTCACGCACCTGGAAGCAAAAACCAAATCATTAAGACTTAAATTAGTGCAAGACATTCAAAATAATTTTGATTGCCAAGAACCAGTTTTCCTATATCATCATTACAACATGTCTCTCTATGGAAAGTCAACACCTCAACATTTTTTCATGCAGCAGAAGAACATCACTGAAATGGCAAATCTGGACAACTTTTATTTTAGTCTCTT